TGAGTTAGTTTTTCCATACAAAATGCTGTAATAAACAATATCTTAAGTTATATTTATCATTGCTTAAGATTACCAATATGCAATGCATGCTTCTAATCTCACCAGGCAGAATGGCCATTGCTACATTTACTGAATTGAAAAAATTACAGATAATATAGGTCTTTCAGCCCTGCAAACACACATACACATCTTTTATTGATTAAACTAGTGCCTTCAGCACTTGCAAAACTGTGCATGTCTTAAGCACTACACATCCACTATCAAAACAGGACAAGTTTTCCCCACGATGCACTTTCTAGTCTTTTATTTAATCGAGTTTAAGTGATTCGACAGGTAAGCCTTAAGCCACTTCCCTCACCAGCCCTGGCCAGGCCTACAGCATTTTCTCAAACACCGTCTCATCACTGGGATTTAACACACGACTGAACGCATGTGCTCTTAGCCCAAAGCAAATGAAAGGTAAAAGGTGTCTCATGTGAATGCCTTTCTCTGGTGTTCACATTAAAACACTTCACATCACATTTACAACTCACTGAGAGCACAGACGTCATTAACTCTCCCTGCTCCTTGGATGCGCTGCAACGTATAAGGCTGTGGTGATTCAATTATTTTTCAGTGATGGTTTATCCATACAATTTTCTTCCTGTTTCATTTGCAGCTTTACCTTTTATTAAAGCCCGTTAAACCACTTTTTAAAATTCCTTATGGTTTACCCCCCTCAGCCAATCTGTATGAGCCTCACACATTAGCCCTTCTGTTTTCACAACAAACTAAAGGTTTCACTACATCCATTTTGCAGGCAAATGTCCACAACCTTTGTAAGCACTTACACCCGTACGATGAGAAGCATTACAACAAGAGCTGAACAGCAGCAGCACCAAAGGCATTTAAAGCCGCTACAGCTGCTGCAAATAAAAGTATGATCAACGGGGGGAGCTCTAAACCTAGAAATGAAAACCCGTTTCTCAGTTCTACCGATCGAGAAAGCAACTTGAGGGAAAGCAGGGTATTATTGAGTAAACACATACTCAATTACCTTGTTGGGGTCTGAGGTTGGGGATCGATTTTTTAACTGGAAGAAAAAGCTAAACGATGCATGCAAGCAACTCCCCAGAGGTATTAATTTGCAGAGAATGAACTACACCTGTAAAGTGTCTAGAAATCTAGGCAGTACTCAAATAATGGGATTTCCATTTATTGTTTTAATAATTTATACTCTTACATGATAGGATGGCACTATGGCTTGTAGTAAATTAATGGGTTTAAAACAGACCAATTACAGTTTTCATGTTCTCTCTCCTAGAGTAATTCTAGAAAAGCAGTCATTTATATGACTTTTAATCTGGTGGTACCTATGTATAACAGTCCTCGAAGCCTGACTCTTGACTGGCTGAGAGGGAAAACTCTGGCTGTGGAACAGTTTCCAAAAAAATTACAGTAATGATAAATATTTCAGAAGTTACATGCAATTCCTCTGAGCTCATCCTTAGCTTATATTTCAGTAAAAGTCACAGCTTTAAAGAAAGAATGCATTGTGTATTAACAAGAGGAAATATAAATAGATTAGGTTTTTTTATTTAATGTGGGGTTGTTTTTTTAATGAAATGAGTGTTTTCAACCATCTCTATAACCAAACAGTATTTAATAATAATAATAAAACTTCCTATGGGATTAAATTAGCCATAACAAAAAGCTGTAGAGATGTCATTTTTTTTATTTTCTGGTGGGAAGAGAGGCATGGAGGGCAAAGCAAGCCGATGCCAGGAAGTCGGCATACAATGCGCAGCCAAGCTAACCAGTAAAACTGTAATTAAAGCTAAACTGGTTATATTACTGACAAAAAGCAAGATTGCCTCACCAACATTTCTGAGAGTCAGTAGGCTGGAAAACAGCATCTCCCCCTTAAAATGGACAGTGACAATGCCATGCTTGTAAACAGATGTTTGACAGGGAAGTGAAGTTAATTTACAGAAAATAAAGTGTTGGGATACCTTCAAAAGTAACTGTAAAATAACTTTATTTAGGAAATAACTATAATCAGATTCTGCATCAACCCAAATGCTGACTCTGTGGAATGTTATGAGAATGACAAATATAGGAAGCCATTCAGCAGATCAGTAAACTGCTAATTTCTCAAAGCATTCATGATTTCAAGACAACTGTGATTTGCACCTTTTCCTTCCTTTTTTGAGTGAATTTCAATTTAAAAACAAAAACATACCTCAGAGTTTCCAATCCTAAAAAATATTCCAGTAAATAAAAGCAGAGCACAAAACCACACATATACAAAGGTGTAGTTTTGAAGGGAAGTGGTTAAAAAAAAAAAAAAAAAATCACTTCATTCTCCCCAACCTGTCAGCCAGTAGTTCTCTTAACCGCAACAGGACTTTCCAACAAGAGCTTCTCAGATAGCAGTTGGCAGTATACTTCCTAAAGACAACAGCAGCAACACGGGCTCCTTCTAACCTGACATCAACTCTACGCACAGAGATTATCCTCATCCTTCGCAAGGGACTTAAAAGTTTAAAGAATCTGCCTTGATCGTGCAGTTATACATCCTTGCCTAATGCAAATGCAATGCAGGCAGCTTCACCTCTGCTTCAAGAGGTGCTGGGCTACCATTACTATTCATTACTTTAACATAATACAAAAAACTCTTAAGACTAATGAACTTAGTGTCATTATATTTTCCACAACAGCACCACTCTTCAGTTGAGATTTTGTACAACAGCTGAGCCACTCCACTGCCCACAGAGGAGGTAGCAGTTAGCAGCAGTTAGCCCCCAGTTACTAAACTTTAGTCTTAATCCTACAAACATCTGCACATGTTTGACTTTGTCTGGGTACTAATTCCACGGAAGCAAGAGAGAAAAATAGCATCTTCTGAGAGGTAAGAGCCTGCAGTGCAAAGCAGACACCTCAGGGTACGTCACTAGGTTATAACAAGTTACATACCTCAACTTTACATCGACTTCCTCTGCCTGGATGACCGCACCAGTCACAGGCTGCACAGTGACGGCATCGCCTAGATTTACTTTCAGGTTCTTCTGTGTGGTTTCACTCAGCCCAACCTTCCCACCTGGAAAGCCTGTGGTGGGCCAAGCAGCACAGACCTAGGAAGAGTTTCAAAGCAAACAACTGTCAGTTGAGATTTCCGCCCCCCCCCCCCCCCATTTCCAGTCCTCCAGTTAAAGTAAGCAATGTTTTGTTATGAAAAACATGGGCTGAGGGGGGAAGAAGGATTAGGTTAAAACCTGGTGCCACAGAGTAAGATACAAGTAGCACTGAGTTCTTAAAATATGATCCAAGACACTTTTCAACAAGGAAAGGGTTATATTTTGCCTACAAAGGGGATAAAGAAATTCCACCAGGACTCTACACATTGTGCAGATGACAAAAAAGCATACACTGTGCTGACTAGGAAATGCTACAAATCAATGAAGAAGAAGAGAAAAGGGCTGTACTCTTTCTTTGCAAATAAAACACACATATGTGCATATATAATATACCACACATAACACACATATTCACACACGACTTACAAATTTCTTGAAGAAAAAAAAAAAATCAGCAGCACGGATTTTTTCCAGTACTGAAAATAAAGATGTAACTACAGTGTAGAAAACATGGCAAAGAAGCACATTCACTATCTTTCTCAACGCATGCTCCATTTTGGTCCCTATTGAATACAACAGGAGCACACTGGAAGCACAAGAGAAGCCCTTGTAGGAACCAGAAAGCGTCTCACCTCCTGTCGCCCGTCAGCAGAGGTAAGCAAGACCGGACGACCTATGCATACGTTCGCAGACTTCATGCTGCTCAGCGACAGCTGGGCGAGGGCTCTTCGCAACATTTTTGGAACTTTGTCATCTCCTAACGTTTTCAGGAGAAAAAACACATCTTTTTTTTCCGCCGACCTATCGGATGAGGTCAGTATTTCTCGCGCTCCCCGGTCGGTACAACTGACGAAGCCCTTCCCAGCCCTGAGGGGAGGTCGCGCGCAGACGTGAGGGAAGCGCAGGGACCCTCGCGGGGGGGGAACCGCGCGTTTCGGGGCGGCGTTTCTGACAGAAAACACCATGGCCACACGCTGCTGCTTGCTGGATTCTCCCGCGGGACCCTTCTGCGGCCGTCATTACTCCTCGACACCGCAATAAAAAGAAACTTTCGCTGGGGTCTCAGCCGATCTTGCCTGAGAGACACCCCTCCCCGGTCCCGCGGCTTCGTGAGGGGACGGGGCAGCCCCTCT